TGAACCATGTGCATAAATATGTATATGTTGTTACAATAAAACAAGATACCTACCGTATAACCTGGGCCTGTACTATTGGGTGTACAATTTTTCTACGTATGTTAAGTAACACACAGTACACACACTCTTTTTTATTTAAATAAGTATTAAAATAAAAAAGACTGTGTGTACTTATGTACACGCGTTAGAAGTTATACCTCTTTGGAACAACATAGTTGGAATCAACAGTAGTAATTAAAAATTATACATACCGACAATTAACCTCAAACCTATAAAATGCACTCAAAACAGTTTATTCAAATCAGTTTTATCACTAATATTCAATATATAGATAGATTAATAAATAATAAATTATTATTAGTAAATATTATCACCGTCGTATATGAAATTGATTTTATAAAAACACTAAAATAATATTTATGTATTCACATTGTTTAATTATACTGTTACGAAACACGTGTTCTAAATATACAAATTTGCTTCAATTTGATATATAATTAAAAATACTAGAATATACAACTTGAACATAGTTATTATCGATTTTCATGCCACCTAGAACTAACTTAACGATGTAGAATTTAGGTGTCGGTGTGCGCGCGCATCGTAAAAATTCACTCTCATCATTTTTCTCCATCGCGCCAAAAGAAGTATAACTTCAAAAACATCGTTAGGAAATCAATATGACACAAAAACGTGCCGTGCAAGTAAGATCTAAGTTAACAATAAATAAATAAATCATTCCTCGTTTACAAATTCCCTTAGCTTTAAACCCATACCAGAGTAGTTCTGCCTGGTATTACAGTTGGCGGAAACAAACATTACTTACATAATTCCTCTCCATGACCCGTGAGTAAACTTCAGTTAATTAATATTTGCACTATTAGCTCGCGTTTAAGCTCAGACGGTAGGAATAAAATTCTAAATTTAAAGTAAAATATAAATCTTATTTCACCTTAATAAATGTTTATACCATCTAGGTTTTTCACTATTTTATGGATGTGGTTTGTTGATGCATTTATAATTGGAACATCTATTAAGTTTTCTAAAAATTATAGGAATAAGAGGAAGGCTGGATATATTTATTACTTAAAAAAATAAAAGAGAAGTTGCTTTGAAATCGAAATTACAATCTTCGATCAAACATTTCGACGAGATTTTCTGTATGTTCAAGTATATTTATATATACCAGAGAATTTTGAATTCAGCCAACGTCTTAATATAACGTACAATAGTATTAACCTTAACATATAAAAACTAAAATATATTATTAAAAGGAGTCCCTTTAGGCAAAGTTCCGAAGATACTGGCAGCGTTCCCCCTTTGAATAGCTAGACCAATTCTTTGTCCGAGATAGCTGCCAGATCTTCAGTCTCCTGCGATGTCGACTAACCTTTTTGATATTTCTTTAAAAAGCCTTAAAGCGCTAGGACCCCACGGACCAAGGGTCTCGACACCGAATGGGACCAAATCAATTTAATAGATAATTTTTATATATTTTTTCAGCTGATGTCGGTAATATTAAAAAATAAATTTAAAATATAAAGTGCGGTTTCTTGAATTTGATTGCCAAGTTGTATACGAGTAGATGTCTTAAAAAAATGTTCATACAACACCGGTATAATACTAGTAAAATAGTCAAATAAATATATAAAAATGGTGCTGAATTGTGTACGTGAAGATAAATGATGTTCCGGTAAAAAGTATTGCTTATAACACAGATAATATATTACTGCGACCACAAATCATCCTTTGTGAACATACAGGGATCATTCTTTTCAGCTTTTCATTTTATGATAAAACCTAGCATAATGGGTACTGTAGGGAAACTAGCTGAAAGCAATGGAGGTCGATTCATGAATAAGGATAAGAAAATAATAGATCAAACTGAATAATTTTGTGACGGTAGAATTCTATTTTCAAATATTAACACACTTAAAATTCTTAAAATATGGCTTCGAATTTGACTTTAAAGTTAGTAAGTAAATATCTTATTAAAATCGCAACATTAAAACAAGACTCGAAGTTATTTAAGGTGCTTATGAAATTTAAATTCAAATACAAAAATCATTTAATCATATAGGAAACACATTGTACACTTACGATCGTCAAAAAAAAATGTATATGAAATTCTTCTAACTTTACATTTAGTCCCAGTTCTTAATTGAGTACATTAGCCTTATATAGGTTATATTAAGACTTAGTAATTAAAATCCACGATATTCCATGTGTCTTTTATACAGAAACATGTTTAATACAGGTGGGATGTTACTTATTTATTGTATTTCTCTTCATTTCATTACAAAACCAGTAAAACGCATTATAACACAAGTAAAAACCACTTAAAATGAAGGGCAAGTAGGCCTTATAACTTTCAAGCAAATACTGGCAGACTATAAGATTTTTATACTCGAAAAGAAATAAATTTTATATTTGAAGTTGTCGTATTTTTAAGTGACTTTTATTTTTCTTCATTTTAGTTTTATGGAAAAAGCTAAAAGATAAAATAGCGGGCATCATGTTTAAAATACAGAACGCAATAGCGGCAAATTTTCTGAAAGAAGGAATCTCCAGGACCTAATTAAACCATAAAACGTAATAGCTAATTAAAATATTTTATATGCAACATCTCTAATTAAGTGGAAACACGTATACGTCGAGCAATACTCGGAAATAGCGTGAATATTTTGCAAAATACTTGTGTCGTGATACCGTTAAACTTTACACGTTATGTTATTTATAGTAAAATCATTATCTTATTATATTCAATATGATTAATATGATTTCTTTACTTAGCCTACGTTTTTAGTATCTACATACCAACATATCGGACATTTAGCTATAAAGGTTTAATCATTTAGATTAAACCTTTATAGATCTGTCACTCAGATTTCTATATCTAATTGTGTCAGATACAGATCAGCATTCTGTATCTGACACACTCCGTCTTTTTAAGCCATACCGGTTTCCTCACGATGTTTTCTTTCACTGTATGAGCGAGTATTAAAAGCGCACATAGACAGAACAGTCTCTTAGTCCCCGAAACTTCGACCTCAGGGATGAGAGTCGCACCCTTAAGCCAACACAGCTCTTAACAAAATAATATATATGTTGTAGCTATACCAAGCTTTTAAGCTCGCTAGCTGTGTAGGTTTCAATTTAAATTTGGCTTGTAGACGAGACATCACTTCATGTTAATGCAAATTTCCTCTTCAAACGGTCCCAGCGTAGTTTCCCGGTGTAATTTCGCATTGGAAATTCATCTGTCAGTCACTTCGATTGTATCCAGACAGAGGCTTCTACGTAACACAGCTCAAAGGCCCAACGTTCTCTGTTAAATATGATTAAAGAGATAATATTTACATTGCTTCGTGTACATAAAGATAAATTTGTAATCTAAAGTGTGTAAGGCGTGTAGAGAGGGACATATATACATGGAACAGATTTAAAAAGTAAAAAAAGGGCAAGTCAAAAGCTGATGAGTGCGTACTAAGAGTGAAGACAGAGAGGTATGTATGGAAACGTGGTAAGTGGATGTATGTAGTACCTGTCTATGGAAAATAGGTGTGATATAAATAAAATAAAAATATTAGAATTTCTGACAATTTTTTTACAAAACATTGCCTAAACTAAGTAGTTAAACTTAAAATAGTTCGGTTTTATTGTGTATCTTATAAATAAATAAAATAAGTCATTGCTGTACTTAGTCTAGGTGTTTTCTTCATTATTTTACACATTACTAGCTGACCCGGCAAAAGTTTTGTATGTATATTATTTATAGTAAACATTTTTATTAGAGGGGTGAAAATTAAGGGTTGTATGTATTTTTTATGCCACATAATAAAAGTTTATAAAAAAAAATTTTACTTGGAGGTTTAAAAGATAGATAGCCGACTTACTGAATATGTATAAATTTTATAAGAATCGGTCGAGCCGTTTTGGAGGAGTATGGGAACGAACATTGTCACACGAGAATTTTACATATTAGACGTACCATTATTATCACTAAGCAGCTTGTCTCTCGACAAAGGCCTCCATCAAACGTCGCCATGTTCGTTTGTCCATCGCTTTGTATTCCATTATACCTCGGCTTACCTTCGTATGTCATCCATCCAACACCTCACCTATTTCCATTGTGAATATGTATCATTCATTCACGTAGGTTTTATTGGTACCATATTATTAGTGTAATAATAATATGCAAGCACGTTTAAGAGAGAGGACAATATAGGCGAAAAGCGTGAAATCGCATAAAATAATAACTCATATAAAAATAGTTTTATCAAACGACGTGTTATTGTAGCAGTTTGCCGAATTTTAAATCTAAAAAATACACTATTTTTTATAAATGAAACACTATATTGAACCCTATGGTCATCAAAGTATTTTCTAACCAATTCGTTTTAATTTATAACGCACACGCGAGTTTTTTTATAACGTGAGTGTCCATGGGCGGTCCTGTTTCATAAAAAAGTGGTTTATTGATACACACAACATTTAAATGAACTCAGTCGGTAATGAGGTTGAAGTAATGACTTCAACTGTTGGAGTTTTATTATTCGAATGTTGTTTTACGAAGTAATGAAAGATTCTTATCACGATGGATGATGACTTGTCGTCCATAACGAGATAAAGTTTAACATATTTTTCTCAATTAAAACTAATTTTCACAATTTATCTGCACTACTTTGACTTTTTGGAATATTCTTCATGCTGTTGGAAGTTTTGCTTAAAAATATACTGAAAAAATCTTCAAATAGACAAACATAAATCGTAATTAATTGATTAAAGTTAATCCTATATATTTAATCATCACTCGGTAAGCCCCAGAGCGACCAGACACATTTTTAAGACTATTTCAAAAATCCATTGACGAGGTTTGAACGACTGGCACAAACCCCACTAACTTCTTAATGCCTTTTGAAGTATTCACCATTACAAAACCACGATAACCGCGTGACAAATATAATACATTGTGAAGGAAATTCGTAAACGTCTTCAGAATGTATAATAATTTTAATGGAACGCTCGGCGCCAACACAAAATTTGGTACGCGTCAACAAAATTACATAAATGTCACTCGAAGGCTGGGACATGCCTGCTTCTGATCCTAATATGTCCAAGATTAAAATGCCTTACATTTCTAAACGGTACTTAAACCAACTCACGAGTTTGAGGTCAAGTGTTAAAAACTCAGTTACGCTAATGGATTTTTCCATCTATTTTCGACATGTTTTTCTGAAATCGTGAGCAATCCGCACCAGTTATAACCCACGGCGTGTCTAGAAGGCTTATCACCTAATTAATATATATATAAATATTTGACATATGTTTTTAAATTCAATAATAACGTATTATAATTAACAAATAGTTGCCTTGAAGCCAACCCTGTAAAATATAAAACTTATAAATATTGGTATATATCTGAGTACGTATGTGTTTATGTGTGCGTGATTGTGCGTGTGTGCCTATTTACTTAATATATTAATTTGTATATCATTTTTGTACTGGGCACAAATTCTATTTATGGGGCGTTACAAGTTTTTTTTTTGTTGTATCTGCTTGTCAACCTGCTTTCCAGCAATAAGCCACTTGTTTGTTTGATTTTACTCAGTTCATGTTTTCCTCAAGAGCCATACTTGTATGAAACTTTTCACACGACTCGCTTGATGTCAAGAGGTAAATCTTTTATATAGGCTCGGTACGTCCCTTCTTTTTAGGCGCTTATGCTGAAAACCGCCTTCTCCGCTCAGAGCGTATGCCAGTTTAATTAGACGGGCGGTCAGCTTCTTCTGGTATTTCAGGCTGTTTTGAGCTATTTCCTGTAGAACTGTTTTTAGGCCGAGGTCGAGGTATTTGTACCTATTACTTATACAATGAGGGGCATTACAAGTCAAGTTATTTTTATTTGTATTAACCAAGAAAGGAGTTGTATGTGTAGGGATAGAAAACTTAACTTGATATAGGAGATCTGACCAGTTGTAGGAGATTTGGGCAATCATTAAATATGTTATAAGTAAGTACTCTTTGAGAGGAGAATAAATGTATTGATTTCTTTGCAGTGGACACCACAGCTCAGTATGACGCAGTGCGAGCTTATTTGAAGGAACTGGACATCTCCAGCGCCGTTTGGGTCGGCCTCATTAGGAGCAATCCTGATGGTGACTTCACATGGACGTTAGTTTTATTTCTATTTAATGACCGAACGTTGAAATTCTATCAAAATTGATGTATATACCAGATTAATGATTTTTATTATAATATTTATCCGTCATATGTTTTAATGATTAATTATTATTGTTACAATGATTTCTATCGTATTTATACAGGTGACCATGCAAGATGGAAAGCACGTGAAGCTTAAAAATATGTTTTAACTCATACCATATAGTTGTGTTTTGAACATCCTTCCGAAATTTAAGTGTGATTCAAACTCAGTTTTTGCGATTTAATATCTCCAATAGTCCTTAACGTTTGGTACTTTTTTGAATAAGGCTTTTGTTCGGCTATATATTCAAGACTTCTTTTATAGAGACTACAGAGGTTTAAGTGGCGAAGGATATTGGAGCTCAGCTCCAGATTCGAGGACGGCACCGCTTTGTGCCGCGGCCGACCCTGCTTCTGACTACCGCTGGGATGCGAGAGCGTGTGGAGGACCTTCCGTTGCTTCATTTATTTGTGAATTACCAGGTACAGTAGTGGTGTCATCTCTATCTTTCAAAGCTATTGGTTTATTAACTGCAAGAGGCATACTCGTTATGAGTATCACCCACTCTGAATGAGAAACAAAAGAAATGATGGATGAGACAGCATAGTTTTGCTAAATGAAACTAAAAAAGTATAAACCAAACATTTATTCCCGTATTATGTATATTTAGTACCACAATGGGCGCTGGGTAGTGAGGGGTGTATGCTGAAAGCTCTACCGGCGCTGACTGTGCTGTATCTACCAGAAAGTGCAGCTGTGCAGCTCACCACTGATTGTGGTCTGGCGGGAGTTCGACGAGTTCAATGTACAGGAAATGTTGTACGTACATTTGAGACTATTTTCTTTAATTATCAAATTTTTATTTAACAGTCAAATCAAGATTTCACTCACTCACTCACATTTATTATTGTGTTACAGAAAAGAGAAGATCTACTCAAAGATTTATCGTGCTCTGAGGATGATACATCAACTACTCTTTGGAATGTTCACTTTACTGGAAATGATATGGAAACAACTACAGGTCTCATGTTCGATGGAGACTCGGTGACGGGCGAAAATATAATGACAGAGCAACAAGAAATTCAGCAAAGTACTGTAAAATCTTCAACAACGCAAACATTTAATTTGGTTACACAAAACGTACCAACAAAGCAAAATCGACAAAATTCGATGTTCGATAAAGTTCCAGATTTGAATATAATCGAAAACAACAACATCTACAATAATATACCCACCGGACCATATAAGACAGACTTTTCAAGTACTGAGTATGCAAATAAATTAGAAGATGAGAGACATATGCATCACAAATTATTACACGATGAGCTAGCCCGACTTGGGAATTTCGAAAGTATATTTAATCAAGCTACTGATCATTTCGTACCACCACTAGTAATGGCAAAAGCTAAATTAGGTAACGACATGAATGCTATGTCTTTCGAAGAAAAGCTTGCTCAGGAGCACGAAGATTATGAAGAAATGACGAAACATTCAAATGACATGAAATTAATCAACAAAAACAATGTAGTTACAACCCAAGTACCACAATATAAAACAACAGATAATATTATAATTAATACGCAGGATCTAATACATGAAAATAAGGATAAAGAAATTACGAAAAAAATAGTACCAAAAAAATACTTTTCTAAACAAACAAAGCCACTTGACGTTAAACGTAAATCACTTCCTGTTATAAACCTTAAAGCATCATTAGATGACGAAATTAACATTACTCCTACTTCTTCAATTACAACACCTCATACAAAAGTTATCACTCCTAAATATGACGTACAAAATAATACAGACAACGATGAAAAAGATGAAACCTCAATTGAACTTACTGTAATTATTCGTGAACCTACAACAAATTTAAAAGATATAGAGTATAATTTATCAAATGGTTCTGATATGATAACAAAATATTCTCATAAAGTTTTTAACTCTTCTGTAACATATAATGATCTTTCGGAACATACAGTATTGATAACGAAACCTAATTCCACAATTGTAGGTAACGCAGAAATAATACAAGAGATAAATTCTTTAAATGATAGTTTTGTGGAATCCAATCCATCGACAACAGACACTACCCATCATTCTTATGAAGTATTTAGCACGTCTGAACCATATAAAAACGATTTTAATCGTGAGGTTATTCAGACAGAAGCTAAAATTGATATCGTAAGTGGTAAAAGCAAGCATGTAGTTGAATCAAAACTAAATCAAATACTCGATTTAGAAAAGTCAACAGAACAACCTATTTTCAAAGATGACATAGAAAATAATAATGTAACTACAGAGAGTTTCCTAGATATTATTTCTCATGTAACAAGTTTTGATTCCAATAATAGTAATGTTCTGATTAACCAAACAAACCATATGTATATCAATAATATGGTTACCTCTTCACCTGAAAGTAATATGACCGAAAATCGTCATAATATTAATAACAGTTCACATAATAATTATACTTTGGTATCCGAAGTTTTTGTAATTAATGTAACTCAGGATGAAATACCAAATATTATTATTAATGGAAATATTACGGAAATTATAGAACCTTCTGAAAACTTGGAAAGCAATATTGAGCTGCATTTGAGTAGTAATTCCAGCGAAGAAGAAATCGATGACTTTCAATCACCATTATTATCCGGAGCGGATGATTCTGAAATTCATAAGCCAATGCGCACCCGAAGGATTCAAAATGTTCAAAACCGCGGTAAAAAGTTTAATCCATTCCGCATTTTAGGTTAGGAAGAGGACAATAATGTATACTTTGACTGCCAATAAATTCTTAGACTAAGTGATGAAATAATACACAATTTCAATTTACTAGAATATAATACGTCACTAATGTGATCGCACAGTGCACTTAGCAGAATTACATTTATATTCACTGGCATTATCTAGTTTCTAGCTCACAACCAACCATTATTAGAATGCAATCTCACATAGTTATAAATGTATCGTATATCGTAAAATATACCTTTATTTTAATTTTCCAGTGAAAATTATATGACAGCGCATAAATCATTGAATGAAAAATGGGAAAAATTGCATAAAGTTATAAGAAAAGTAATTAGTGATACGCAACTTTAGCGTATTAAAACGCAAACTTTCGTTGGCTTTTAATATTTCATCGTTAGTTTTTAACCATATCAAATAAAATCTAGTCAATTCATCTATTATAGGTATAGCATAGCTATCATTTTAGAACCCTAGTTACTAGAATTACAAACCTGTGACATCATTGCCAAATCGAAGATAATATTTTACCATAAACTCAATCATATCATTAATCATAAAATATTTATTTTTAAATCTATATTACCTCTTTGCGTATAAGACCTGCTGGGCTATATTTAACTCTCAGTGCTGTCTGGTTAGACACGAAAAACAAAGGATTAAAAAGAACGCTGTAATCATGACTTTTTATTCTTCCAGAAAAACACCAATGTCTAACCAAATTACCTACTTCTTAACACTGGTTGTTCCCTTTTACGATATTCATTTAAATATGCCGACTGAAATGCTATTTTGTAAAAGTTTCGTGTAATATTTCATTTAATCGTATTTGAAATTAAATTTCTACGTATTTGTAAATGTCCTTGGATGTTTAATCAAATCTTATTTAGATTGCGGTTAGCTAATTTACCAACTTAATCCTTAAGGAATGGCTGTTACATAAAACGAATATTTTATAATTTATCACACTGTATGTAGCAGAAGTTTTATAAATAAATGTATTGAATAAGTACTTGTTTTTTTTAATAATTTATAAAACATTGTAATTGTAAATACTTGACATAATAGCATATATTGTCAAGGAAGGCCTGGCTGACGGCGTGGTACTGCGTTTGATTTCCGACTAAACAGAAATAGTTTGGGGTTGAAAGCAAGTTGAAGGCTGGTTGCAGAGTTATCGGTTTATCACCTACTTACCCGTAAAAAATATGAATAAAACAGATATATATTATGTTTGCTAAATTGGACGATTACGGGACTTTGAAGATGTTGCAATCAATAAAGAATAATTTTAAATCGCATGTATAGAGTTTTGTGGGATACGGTATGGATAAGATCCTTGTCTCTGTTTTCACTGATATTTTTTATTCCCAAATGACTTGGGATATATTTAAACCCAAAGACAAGTATTCGTAAGTATATTCTAATCCGTGTGGTCTCCTTTCTTTTTTCATTTGTAAGTATTGAACGAAAAAAAGACGAACGTTAGTAGAGAAAGTATCTTTTGGTACAAAGATATATGTGACATAGGTAGGTAAGTTTGTAGGTAAAAAAAAAAAAAAACATAAAATCGATGAGACCCTATGATGCCTAGGAACAAAATAAGTAGTGATCCCCAGCAATGACCAGTTATCATATAATTTTAAATAAATATTCCCTTAAATTTATTTTCATTATAATCATTCCTGACGTGTAAATACCGCTTTATTATTAAAATCTAAATCAGTCTGCACTGTTTTAATTAAAGTACAAATGAGCCTAATTTAAATACTATTTGACTTTGAGGGACGACAGAGTGAGCAACATTTTTCTATGAATGAGGGGGAATCTACAATAGTGATTTATTAGGTATATAGAAGCTCTCCGAGCGGCTTGATCCTTTGGCGTTGCGTAGAGATGTGGGGTCACTCTGCATCTTCTACCGCATTTACCATGGAAAGTGAGAATGAGAATGAGAGCTGAGTTTCATCATCGGACGTCGAGGCAGAATTCGAAATTCCACCCGTATCACCTCGACGTCCGCCGTTCCACAACTGAGCGTTTTTCAAGGCAGTTTTTGCCTCGCACCACCACTTTGTAGAACCAGCTGCCCAATGAAGTATTTCCGAACCAATTCGACTTAGGGTCCTTTAAGAAAAGAGCGTACCAATTCTTTAAAGGCCGGCAACGCACTCGCGAGCCCTCTGGCATTGAGAGTGTCCATAAAAAAAAGATACTTTATAGCTCAAAGAAGTAATTTGAGTTTGTCTTTTAAAATTTTCGTATTTTAAAGAAGAATTCTACGGTAGATACATCGTTTTGAAACATTTCAAGTGTTCACATACTCGAAGATAAGGGTTGTTATACACGACGTCTGCTAAGTGCCTGTCTGAAGATGAGAGGCTTATTTTGGACAAGTGGCGCTATCTTAAGTCTTATGTTTAGCGAAACCTTTCAAACGAAACTTTTAAAAAGTCAAGTTACGAAAAGTTTTTCTGCGTCTTCATTCACCGTTTTCGAAAACCTTCTAAAATTTCGATGAAAATAAGTTTGGGTGGTTACAATGTAAGTATAAATTTTAATCTGTTTTTTTTTGTCGAATTGAAAAAAATTGCACTAATAAAAAAATCTTTCAAGGGTTATGTAACATTTATGTAACAAAGGTTATGTACATTAGTTATGTTACATATATATATACTGCTCAAAACAATTAGCGGAACAAGATTTTTCTCCTTTCTATTGCTTAAACTAAAATTAGATTTAAATTAACTTGTACGCTATTTTTTACCTTGTTAATTTGTTATTACATGTTACTACAATTAATAAAAAAATTCAATTTGTATTTTTTTATTAAAAAAAATTAAAATGTGCATTGTAGACGAAAAACTAATTGGTGATAAAAAAGGTCCATCAAAGAAATATTCTTATATCGTTTGAATATTCGTCTTTAGTGACTTTCAGTAACGTGTGTGGCCTCCATGAGCCCTAATCACGGCTTGACAACGACGCGGCATGCTTCGTATGATCCTCCGAATATCTTCTTGTGGAATTCGCTCCCATTCTTCAATCAACGCTTCAGTGAGCTGCTGCAGTGTTTGAGGTGCAATCGGACGCTTCCGGATGCGCCTGTCAAGCAAGTCCCAAATGTGTTCAATTGGATTTAGGTCAGGGCTCATGGAAGGCCACTCCATTACACGGATTTCCTGCTGTCGTAAGTAATCTGACGTGATGGCTGCAGTATGCGGCCTGGCATTATCTAGCATTAAAAGAAAATCTGGGCCCATACCATATGCTGCGGGCCAAACATGATCTTCGAGCACATTTTCAATGTAAGTTTGAGCACACAAGCGCCCGGGAACAACGACGAGATCTGTGCGCTCGTCCAAACTAACTCCGCCCCAAACCATCACAGAGCCACATCCAAATTTGTCATATTCCTGGACTGCTGCTGCACTGTATCGCTCGCCTGGGCGTCTGTAAACGCGGAGACGACCATCGCAACGTGTTAGACGGAATCGTGATTCGTCAGTAAAAAGCACTGGCCTCCAATGTCGAAGTTGCCAATTAGCGTGATTTTGCGCGAACTGTCGCCGAGCTTGTCTATGTTGAATTGTTAGACGCACAGCCCGAACTGGTCGGCGTGATCTCAAATTGGCTTCCAACAACCTATTTCTTACCGTCTGTACGGAAATTTCTACACCAGTAGCCGTCCTTAGTGTATTTTGTAGATCTCTTGCAGTTGTGGTGCGGTTACGTAAAGCACAGTTGACGATGTAGCGATCTTGCAAACGTGTAGTTTTTCTCTTTCGACCTTGACCACGCCTTCGTGAGTATTCTCCCGTCTCACGGTATCGCTTCCAAAGTCTGTAGATAACAGAAGGGGCTACTCCTAGATCATTTCCTACATAACGCATAGTTCGACCCACTTCAAGCAAAGCGATAGCTCGGGAGACATGCAATTCAGTCAGATCTGGCATTATGACCTAAACTCACTCGCTTCAATGAATAACAATACTCAAAAGGCTCACTTCAATTTCTATTAATACTCAAAAGATTGAAAAAAACTACTTAAAATGTGTTTTCTGTGATTAGAAAGTAATGAAAATTCAAAGACGTCACTTTGTTTTTGGGCGTTTCTAGACACACTGCCACTTTATTATAGGACTACTAACCAAAACGCCGATGCTCTTTTGTTTTTTATTTTCTTCGACAATGCCTTAACATTATCTAGTGGCCAGTAATAATTAAAACCTTAAGTAAAAAGTTTAGTTCTACTTTAAAGTTTTGTTCCCGTAATTGTTTTGAGCAGTATATTTTAGTAAATATTTAGAAGCGCAAACCAAAATACGTTTGCCGTCGTCGCACACATGGCACCAAAAACACATGCCCATGCACAACATTGAGCCTCATAAATTGTAATACTATATGCTTCCGGTAATGTCCAAAAAGGTCGACTTCACTTGTAATGAAGTGACATTTAGATGAACTAAATGAGTTTTTGTTAGCGCCGCAACCCCACTACCCATATTTATGTTAGATATAAGCTCATGTTTTAAACCATTAAAGCCAGTTGTTACCCAACTTCAAACAAAGTGTTATATTTGAAATCATCCATAGAAAAAATCACTACCAACCTTATTTCAAATATTGATTTTTTTTCAAAATATTGACAAAAGAACCAGTCGCTATAAAGTCACTTGACCTCAGATTTCTGTATCTTGATATTTTTTTTCTCCCTTCCCTGACACATGTCATCGACTTTTTGGGTATAAGGCATTTCGGTTTCCTCACGTCCCTTCCCCATACGAGCGAGTGTTAAATGCGCAATTAGAAAAGTATTTTATTTTATAGAACAGGGGGCAAACGGGCAGGAGGCTCATCTGATGTTAAGTGATACCACCACCCTGGACACTCAAAGGCAGAAGGCTCGCGAGTGCTTTTCCAGCCTTATAAGAATTGGTACACTCTTTTCTTGAAGGACCCTAAGTCGAATTGGTATACTTCGGCATAAACTGCCTTAAAAAACGCTC